TCTCTTGCCTCTTCAGGCATAGGAGTGATTTGGCTAGCTCTGGGGTGCTCCACCAAAACCCTGCAAACCGTTAAAAATAACATAGTCATTAAACTCTCTTAATCACTCATGTAAGTGTTCCAGGGACCTCAATAAACCCAGCAAGCCCCAAACCTAACTCATTATTGTCTCTCAAAACCTGTTCTTATTCTTAATGCCATTCAATTAACCAAATCAGATAAGAACTTTAACAATTATACCCAGCTCTAACACTTAATTGCCATTTTAGGATAATGGAAATAGACTGAGCCTTGGTAGGAGACACCTAGCTTCCAATTCCAGTTATACCAGATTTAGAGCTGTGTTATCTTAGGCAATTTACTTGATTTCTCCGATCTTCTCTGTAAAATGACATAAATCATGTTCACTGCTTGCAGTTGTTTTGAGAGTAAAATGTGATTGTTTAAAAAGAAAAGTAGCGTAAGTTTTCCCATGGGCAGTATTCTCCTAAATTTGTCTTATACTCCCAACTCTTAAGTTCACCCCTCACCAATTCATCCTTTCTATAGTTGACACATAATCTTAAAGACAAATTTAATCATACTACTCATGCTCAATTGCTTAAGCAGTACCACACAATCTATAAGGACATGTAAAAGCTTTAGCTGTGTATACAAAGCCCTCCAAGATACGGTTCTAGTCCTGTATTGAAAAATTATATTAGAGTTTTATGTATACTGACCAATGTCATGAAAGCAATCACCTTATCAGCTTCTATGGATACCAATAAAGAGCTACCATAAAATTAATGTTTTTTATATGTTTAAGAAATGTCCTGATATAAAAAAAAATTAATAGCAACCAATGCTTGAGTACCTAACTGTGCTAGAAAATGTGCTATATTGTTATTAGCAACTCTCTAAGTTAAATAGGTGGTAAAAGTAGTTTGGTTTATATATTTTATCATAATTTATAAATAAAGGCCAATCCTATTAAAAACCACCAAAAGATATGATTTTATTTCTCCACAAAACAAAGAAAAAATATTATATTGACCTGAAGTTCAATAAAATCTATTGTGTCATAGAGTTAATGAAATAAAAATTGAGGACAAATTTCTATTTTATTATTTTATTTTATTTTTTACTTCTCAGGATATATCTCACTGAGGAGCTAAGGTAATAAAGTTCTTGGTTTAATAGAATTGTAAATAAAACCTTACTAGCTCCTGTAGAATATTGTCTTCAGATGTATCCTATGGTAAAAAATTATCTTATAATAAATTTTATATAATGTTCCTTTCTCCTCTGTATCTATGCAATTCAACTAACTTACTCTTTATGGCTCAATGAAAGATTTGCGGTTTCACTTCATAACCCGGCCTCATTTATATCTCATCCTCCTCCTAACTTTTACAGCCTTTATGATCTCTGTAACTTATTTTTGTGTTTCAGTAAATAATGCTTCATAGTATTATCCATCGTCCCAAAACGTTTGACATCTCTATCATATCTATAGTTGCTATTTAACCACTAGGCAAAGCTATGTAGGGTTCACTCTGTTCTTATGGCAGTTTATTACCAATCTACCAGCCTGAAAAAAAAGTTGTGAAATATTTGGGTATAAAAGCATAGAGGGACTTCAGAGACTATTTAAGTTTGGTTCATAGGTGAAGAAATTGAGGTCCTAAGAAGTCAATTGATCTGTCAAAGACCGTACAACTCATTAGTACCAAAGCTGAGATTGGGCAGACTCTGATCGGCTCTCTAGAGTTCTCCTGTTCACATACAAGTGATAGCATTTATACTATTATTTATAATTGCAAGACTAATTATTAGTTATATATTTATTCAACAAGTTATAGTGTACTTGATAGTAATTTACCTTTCTCTATTTGACTTCATTCATGTAAATTGCAGCTATTTAATGTAATATTAAAAGTAATTTAAGTATAACTTAACTTCTTCCTTCCACATCTTTGCCACAAAAGAGGAGCCCTGGTAATTTTATACTAAATGCCCAATAATTACATGCGGGTGAAAGTAGTGGGAAAGACATTATCTGGTATTGTTGATTAAAGATGAATGGAATCATATATGGTAATTTTGCTTATATAAGGATTTTATGAAACAGCTTTTCTGCCTTCCTTGGTAATTGGAAAGAGGGTGGGCAACATTGCCTGAAGTTGTTCTGTTTAACCACTCAAGAGTCTGAGAAATACAGCTCTTGGGGTAAGGGGTTAGCAGGAATGCTGAAAAACATTTGACGATAAAGGACCTTCATGCTAAGAGCTAAAATCACCTATCACGTTAATATTATAAGATACCATTTGATTGGAGGAAAAAACTCACATAAGTCAGCTCCATTTGTGAAAGAAATGGATAACCCTTTGAACTTGTAGGCATTTCAGCCCTACTAAGAGCTCTCAATAGACATGGAAATTCAAAATTGTTTAAAAAGATGAGAATTAACATTATAGTTACAATAGGTTCATTTTAAATTAGTTTGAGTTATATCCATAATTAAATACAAATTGACAACAATGACCAGAATGACGATGTGAAGTGGTTATTATATAAGATCTTTTCAAAACCTATTGTAGCCAATTTGTCCTGGCCAAAGAAATCCTAAAACATAAAATAAGAGTCAAAGGAAATAAATGATTTAATATATAATTCATCCTTTTGTATCAAAAAATTCAAAGTAATAAAAACTTCATTATGGCAGACAAAGCATGCAATGTGGGGACAACACAGAAATCCAAGAAAAGCAAGAGCAATTTCAAGGCACTAAATAAGTGGACTGAGAGAAGAAGTACACAGATACTTCCCCGAACAAAGTAAGTGCTGTGGAAATTTTGTTTCTTAAGTGCTATGAAAGCACAAAGAAGGCTTTTATGGGCTTTACAGATGTGTAGTATTGGCTTTACAGATTTGTAGTATTCTTTTACACACAAAGAGAGCCACATTTTTTTTTTTAGATTTCTACTAATGAAGTTTTATTTGTTTCTAGTCTCCCGTGAACAAATTTAATAATCTAGTCTCTACATGAGCTCTACTTTTTAAAAACATTAAAATTGAAATATGTACATGCTCCTACATTCTGACCTGTTATAATTGTATTCCTCACATATAATAGCACACTTTAGTGCCAGATGAAAGTTCCCCCTTTTTACATAAAGTGTTTTATTTTTGTTTTTTTGTGTGTGGTTTTTTTTTTTTTTTTTTTTGCAACTTGGTACTAAGGAAGTTCCAGACTAAAATAGTGCATCAAGAGGACTGGCATAATCAGCCTCACTAAAAACAGCTTGATTAATACTAAATATGTCCTAGCTCCTAATCAATTATGTTAATGAAGTCATAGGCAGCACATCTGCAAGCCCTGACAAAGCCCATGATCTCAGCATTGCCTGATAATATAGACTCCTCGAGCTGCTCAGGGTTAGCAGCCTCCGAGCTTTCAGAGAAGACACTGACAAAGGCTTGTGGTCCTCAAACCTTGTTATTTTATTCACCACAACACAGTACTAGGTTCTGGGATGAACTGTCAAATTACATTGCTCTTTTAATACAATAACAGAACCTAAGAGTCCTACTTAACAAATGACACATCCTTTTCCGAGGGACAGATTGCTAGGAAAAATATATGCTACTTGGTGTTTTATGAGCCTCTGCTAGGAGATAACTTGGCACCAAACACTTGAATAATCTGACTATCAAATTCTCCCTCAAGTTGCGAAATCTGAATTCCTTGCTTTATGTCCATCTGGAACAACAACAGAATTAGAATCCCATGAAAAATTGAGGTAATGCTATTATTTATATGTGTTGTCTTGTCCAGTGAACATTTTGTTGAGTGAGATAGTCAGTTTTGTGTCAAATTCTCTTAAGTAATATGACATATTATAGTCCAAATGCCAAAAGAAATGTAATTCTGATTTTTTTTCTCTCTCTCTATTTTCTTTTTTTTTTTGGACTGGTTGTTTCTAAATCACTTGTTTACTCTCTAGATAAGTGACATACAAGAGTAACCTCTTCCTGGATGAATCCTCATGAGTGTCATCACTTAGTCTCAAGGGATGGCCAAAGTCAATGGGCAGTTGTTGAGCTGAGTGGGAAGATCTTGAACAAGCAGGTTGGAGTGTCCACATTGCACACAGAAGATCTTTTCCAATGTGGGACAAAGCTAGGGGTTTCTACCCCTTTCTAGGGTGGCTGTGATCTGAGGAAGACCTCCATTTGTACTCTTGTAAAAATTTAATGGTGCTTTAGCTTTAATTACTGGTGTTTTTATATTGGCAAATTGAGTCTTGACAGAGAAGAAAATGTTTTCTATTCATCTCTGAATCCCTGGTATTTTGGACAATATCTGAAATGATCCCATGTTTGGGTTTTAATGAAAGTTTAAGAAATGAATGAAGACTTAAAGAAATGACTTTAAATTTCCAGCAAAATTTATTACAATACTGATCTTGAGACATCATATTTTTCAAGAATTAGTAGCAGTATTGTGTATAGTACTTATAAACTATACATACACGTACATACAACAGTGTGTATTTGTGTGTGTGAGTGTGTGTGTTTGTGTGTGTTTGTGTGTGTATGAATATACACACACACAAAGCTAGGAAAAGGTGGAGCTCAGATTCAAACCCAGCAACTCTGGCCGCAGCCTCTTCAGAGACTAAATTGATCAAGCTGCGGTAAAACCGCAAGAGTTGCAAGGCATAGCCTTATCTGTTTGTCTCTATATTTTTTTTTTCTTGATTCCCAAAGTACTAGAGTTGGCATCCTTCTGGAAGCTGAGGGTCACCAATATAGGATCTTAAGGGGAAATTTTTGGTTTTCTAAAGAATGGCAAATTGCAATTTTAGGAAAAGCAAATTGTAGTTTAGAAATACTAAAAGTATGTAAGAAAACATTGGATTTTGCTGTTGCTTTGTGACTATTTTTGTTGTTTTTGTTTCTCTACATTCTATTTTATCTACAATAGAGATCTTTAAGAGAAAAAAAAGTACTTGCCTTCAAGGGCAGGTGATGCCAGGGTGGGTCTGGAAGCTTGTTCTGTCGGTAATGGAGGTGGAATGGCTGGGCTTTGTCCTGTACGTACAATGCAGAAGTAGGCATTGGAAAAAAAAAAAGTATTAACAAATCTAATATCCACAACTAAAAAGCTAGATCTGTCCTCTACATGCATAATTCATAAAACCAAGCCAAGTATAAATCATATTATTATGCAATAAGAAAGCTATTATTAAGTGAGATCTTCAAGAAGATACCTTCGCAGATTCAGTTATCTTCAGAGCCATTTCTGAATATATTATTTTCCATAGATGGATATGCAATGTTAAATGTATCTACTGGACTTCATTAATGGAAAATGTACATGTACTCAAATTAAGCAATTTATTTTTAACACGCACATTAAATTATGGAAACTAAAATCTCAGAAGCTGAGGGGGAATCTTAATATAAAAGAAATCACTGTGTTTTTTCCATTTAACTAAAAATTCTCAAATGATATAATATGAGCAATAAAAGAAGGTTGAAATTCATAGGCCTTTTCATATTGAAAAGACACATTTTTTTTCCTGCCATAATAAATGACCTGTAGTTAAGTAAACAATGAGCCAAAGAGAAAATATATTCAGTTTTATAGAACCTTGAAAGCTTCTCTCAAGTCTCTGAGCTTATTATGAACTGAAAGAGAGAGAGAGAGAGAGAGAGAGAGAAAGAAAGAAAGAAAGAAAACCCACAATCATTTCCAAGTACTTCTTTATCCCAAGTGATTTCTTTAATTAACCAATACCATCCAGGCCATGAACTCTCAACATTAGCTATCATATGATCCCATATAAATTGCTTGTAAAACATTTTATCATTACTTTTCATTCCATAAACTTCTGCTGTGTGTTTTTTATCCTGAAATCAACATGCAACATGGACATGTATACCTTCTAAAATCTCACTGATAACTAGATATTATCAAATGTCAGCAGACCTGCCTGCTTACTGAAAGGTTTCCTTTCTTAGAATTCACCAAAATTAGTTCTGGATGGTGTAAAATGGTTTGACAAGCAAAGTAATTAGAGTTGCACAAACACCACATTCCAGGCCTAGACCCTCCTGCCACATGGAGCTCTGTTCATCATATTGTGATCTTGTAGTTGTTACACCCATACAGGTCAATTACTGAGCATGTTTAAGTATGTACAGAAGCCATACATACTGTTTCATAACTTACAGGCCATATGCCTACAAAAATATCCATTTATAATATTGTTAATTTTTTTCCTTATGGAAGTAAAGATTGACTTAAACATGATATAACATGGAAGTTTATTTTTTAGTTAGCAAAGAAAAAAATAAGGCTGGAAACACTAAAAAGATTGATCCACATTATCTTTCCCTAGCTAATATTTATATAGTGTTTACTATGTGCCAAGAATGATCCAAATGGTCTTCCTGTATTAAGTCATTTAATCTTCACAAGCTCTTTAGAATGTACGTATTAGTCTCATTTTGTAGTTTTTAAAACTGAGGTTAACCGGAGTTTAGGCTACTCAGCTCCTAATATGTGGAACTGGATTTCAGTGCAGGTTCCCAAGTTGCAGTTCTTAAAGCTCCTCTCAGATTGCCTAAGCCTAACAGAAGGGTCATCTATCAGGAGACCATGACTATAGCTGACGAGGGACAGGGGAGTGAAGCCTCTACCCTAAGTTTCTACTTTCTCGGTGGGTTAAAGGGATTTATGCTTGGAAAGATCTATTCCCCAACCTTGTTTGAGGGCCATTCTTGAAAAAATAATTCTAAGGTAGGGTAGTATTTTGTGGCTTTGAAAATAAGCCTACAAGGACAAAGAAGGAGTCAGTTAAATGACAAAACTTTTAAAATACTAGTGTCCATAAATATACATCAGTTGTTTCTAAATACTAAGATATATCACTATCTTCATAGAATGGTGCCTGTTGAGCCTCAGCTGTTTTCTACCCTGTCAGAATAGTACCTGTCGACTACCCTGTCAGTGAATAGTAGTGGCTGTATAATTATAGTCTTTTATAGTCTTGTTGAGTTATTGAGGAACTTATTATACAATATATAAAATCATTTCCCTGGAAATTTCACGTAATTTACACTATTCCATATTTTTAGATTTATCTAAAGGAACTATAAAGTTATTATTTTATTTAAAACAACTTTATTGCATTCTTACTATATACAAACACTGAAGAATTATTAAAACCCAACCCTGTCTTCAAGAAGTTCCCAATATACTGGCTGAAACAGACGTCTAGACAGATCATTACGTTATAGTGTGTTGAAGGAAAATCATATATACAAAGGATATACTGCAGAAAGAGTCTTGAAAGAGAGTAAGTTAACAGCCTAAAAGGAGCCTGCCAGGTAAGGAAGGATGGGGAAGATGGAGGGATTCTAGGTGGAAGGTATGTGGTAAATTGAACAAAGAAAAGCCTGGATGCCAAAATAGATATATTTATTAAAACACACAAACTGGTGCTTCTGCAGCATAAAATGCAATATGCAGTTGATATCAGAAATTCTCCACAACTATAATCTCTTTTTATTCTGCTCTCTAACATGGCTGATGGCATGGTTGTAAGGCGGTGGATACAATGGGTACAATGGGAAAGTAGGAACACAAGCAAAAAAAAAAAATTAAGAAAACAAAGGAGAAGCCAGCTGGCTGCCTGTCTCCATGGCGACAGTGATACTAGCCCTGGCAGGGAATTACTAACTCAGGACAAGGTTTTGTCGTGTTAGGGTGCACCAAAACAAATCAAATGGGTCATACTTGAGCATGACACACAACTTTGATCCTGACTCGTATAATAAGTGATGTCAGAAAAACTTACTAAAATCACACATTGTTTTGCTAGGTGAATGAATACATCATATAACATATACAATAAATACATAATGAATTATATTAAATGTAATATTATATTAATAATACAGTCCTACAGCAAAATCAGAGTTGTTTAGTATAAAGACTGCATGCTTAGGAGTCACATGGGTGTAAGTGATGGCTTCAGATCCGTCACTTAGAAGCTGTGTAAATTTGAAAACATCATAACATCTCCAAGCTTCAGTTAGGATATTTATAAAATGTGGATAGTTATAGGGGTGTTATAAGGATTAAGTGATGAAGCACCCAGTGCATGGGAGATACTCAAAATATTAATTCTTTTCCTGATAATGTGTTTACAATTTAAATCCCATCTAATTACACAAGAAGATTTGAAGCTGACTTTTGAAGTAAGAAAACAAAAACAAAGAAAATTGAACATGACAGAAATAGCAGAATTCATTTGCAGAAAAGAGGCTTATAATTTTATTAGGAATATATTCTTTTGGAATTCCTGAAGATTGTTACTCTCTGAAGGAAAGATTTAGCCTGTTGAAATTTACATTCGAACTCTAAAGGTGCCCTTCATTTTACAAGCTATTACCTGAAAATCCCTCTGACATTCAAACACAGTAAGTTGACTTCATTTCTGTTCCTTGAGTGATTTGGGCTGGCTTATTTCCATAATACCTGAATGGTAGGTTGGCAAATTGCTAATATTTTGTTGTTCTGAGTTCTTTCCCATACAAATCAATTTGGTTGTTTTTGATTTAGTCAAATTCTTTTGGGGCTAGTATACAGTGTGCATTCATTCTAATGATCTAAGTTACTGATGTTTTCTTTACTTTGCTAGAAATGATGAATGAGATTACTCAAAATCTTGTCAAGGTAGGAGGCTATGAGCTGAATTCTGATTGCATGAAGGAAGAAAAACAATTTACTACACTAAAGTTTAATGTATCTAGTTTCTTTATGAATGAGATTCCCTGATTGAAAGCCATTTCTGAACATCTGAAGCCTACTCCCTCTATCTTGTAACAAATGTTGAGGCTATTTTTTTCTCTAACACCTAATAGAGATTTTATGTCATAGACCCTCATTGGATTTTCCTGGAAGTATGGAGAGTTACATCCAGAGAACTCTGAACATTTTGGAAGGACCCCAATCATGCAAACAATGAATGGCAATAAATCCTGGTACTGGAAAGTTATGAGGACCTCCAAGTAACCATTGAGTTGAAATTTATTTACATTAAAAACACACGATATAGGAAATCATTACAAATCCTTGTGTCAATTTATTCTTTCAGGTGCGTAGAAGGCATTTATAAATCTATGACTAAAAGTAAAGTGAGAAGATGTGAGTTTAATAAGGAAATGATAGTCAAGTTTATTAAAGCAATAATATTACTTATGTATTGGTATAAGCTTCCTAGACTACTTTTGTAAGATGTAGAATATTTTCAAAGTTTGGAATTTAACAAATACTAAAATTAAATGAAAAGATGATTTTATATTTTGGCTGAGACATGGGATTGTGCTAAGGTCCTGTGTTAATAGGGGCACCTTGACCTTCATGCTTCCTTACTATCACTTGCTTCTGCCTTGTACTTTTGGACCACTTAGAAATGGAAGGAGGGGACCCTAGAGATATGGAGTAGCAACCACTCCTCCCTTTCTGAACCCCATCTATTAAAAATAATTGAATTGCCACTCATATAATAATCAGAGATGTTCAAATTTGCCTGTTAAACAAAGACCTCTCCAACTGGGAATAATCTGAAGAAGTTCAGGAGTTTGTGTGAGGTGGGCAGGCACAGGAGGTTTTTACTTCAAACATAGGCATCCTTATACCTTTCATTTCTGTATTGCTAAATGTCACCACTGTACTTTGCATTTCTTTTCTTCCTTCCAGGGACTTCTCAATCCCAAGGGCAACCATAGAGTCCTATACAAAGAAAGATAGAGCAGTGTGAAAGAGGCCTGGATGGAAAAACAAAGACAGAGCCAGTGAGCCAGAGCCAGAGAACCGGGCAGAAAGGCAGAGAATGGAAAACACACAGAAGGCAGATGCATAGAGAGACAGAGATTCAATGGGGAAATAAGGAAGGAAGAAAGAAAGGAAACCAAAACGTTCTCAGCACTACAACTTCTGCCTTGTTCTGTTCCAGAACAGTATGCGCTCAGTATTTTTTCAGTCTCTCAATTTTCTACAACTAATAATTTGCTCTTTC